GAGATAAATTTAGCCACCAAATTTAACCTTTTTCATGGACTTGAGTAATGCCTTTTCATTTATTACTGCTTACAGCTGCAGTTCAGTTGAGAAGGTGCACAATTAATAGCATAAAATACGTTTGGAAAAATTATACCAATTCAAGAGGAAGTTATTGTCCATGACTATTACTAAAAGGTTTACAAATTTGTTATTTAAATTATTTGAATATTCTGTAAGATTCAATTTTCACCTAAGGACTTCTGTAGAATATGAGTTTTACTTCATTTTAATATCTTACAGTATTCATTTTATATGCAAACTGGTTTGAAGAAAAACTGAGATTATCCAAAGAACCTGTGTACCAAACACTCTGAAATCCAGTATCTTCAAAAAGAATCTTTGCAATATTTATGAAATACCAGCAGTTCCCAAATCCCTAGCAACACATTGAAACTAAACCCCTGTTAGAAGCAGCAGTAAACTTGTCTGGTTATAGACCAGCACTCCCAATGCCATGTTACCCTCAATAACAGAATTGCAGGCAAGGACTTTCAGCAATGGATTCCAAGTCTTCAGATAACAAAAGTGACATGAATTGAATTTGCTAGCCTTGAACTTTGTGCTGATTTGTCAAAATACTAAATATTTCAGGTTTTTAATCATACAATAATTATACACTTTGGCTGGATCAGCTGCTTTGGGGCAAGAAGAGAGCTCTGCCACTGGTATCAATGGCCTTAGGAATATCTTAACGTCTCATTTTATCCTATAATTAATCACTATTTTTATACTGCTAATTACTTAGGTGGGATTAAGGATCCTTTTCCTGCGGCTGTATGCAAAGGAGCTGTATGAGGGTCTTGCTAAGGAGAGGCTATTGCTGAAGAAAGTTAAAATTAGCAGAAAAAGTATAACCCAAAAAATCCAAGGAGTCTTTGAAAAAAAATACTAAGTTTTTGAAAAGTTCTAAGTTCATTTCTAGATGCTATTAATAAATTTTCACCTAATAACATAAATTAAGTTGAAATTATCTACATTTCTTATTAGGTGTTTGTTTCTTTTAAACAAACAGGAGCCTGTATTTATCCCTTAATTATATGTTGTAACACAAAGTTTACATCTCTAACAGTGGTAAGAAAGGGTCTGTTAAAATTAAACTCATAAACTTTCCAATCCCTTCTGTAATACTCATGTAGCTTTTGAAAAATAGATTTAAAAAAATAAAAAAAAAGAAGAAATACTTCTCTAATATTCTAAATATGACAAGAACTACAGATAGATGTAGCTGCCTGAGGATTTATTGGTGCAGATTATATTAACAAAGAATTAGAGGATAAAGCCATAACAAATGTTACTTCTCATGGGATCAAGAATAGTAGTGTTTTTCAAAAGCCTAAAAATCCTGTTGTTTTTTTTTTTACTGATTAGGGTGTTTCTGATTGATCAAGACAGCTGTGTAGCAATTTTGACTTCTTAAGCATTTAAGAGTGTATACCTTTTGATTTAATTATGTTCAGCATTATAAAACAGCATGTCTTATGAATTTTCTACATGTTAGAGGGGGGGAGACATGACAAGATTCCTGGAACCTGGGGTGGATCTCCATCCTGGCCAGTCTGTGCAGATTCTCAGCACCATGGTAGTCTTCCCATCCCAGCTGGATCAAAGGGGGACTACTGTGGTTCTCTGTCCCCATGTACAGCTACTCTGTAGGCTGGAGATGTTTTCCCACAGGCACACACACGGCACAAGCAACGCTGGGCACACATCCCAGCACAGAGAACAGTGCCTGTCTCAGCACCCACAAGAACACAAACAGCACAGATTAGTCCTTTTCACCCTCACTGAATGACTAGGGTGGAAGTTCCATAGTGTAGTGTATGCATCTCCCTGGAAAAACACAGTCTCTCCAGTAATTAAATAGTAATTAAAGCCTTCAGTTTACCCAGTACACCCAGACCCTTATCTCATCCTTCAGACCTATAGTTCATCCGTCAAGCAGCTGGCACTCAGACACCTTAACTTAATGCAATTTAACTTAAGGTGACCTTCCCTAACACTCACACATGAAGTCCTATGGTCTAGAGTTTAGATAAGACAACTAGAAATTCATATGAATATATAGGATAAACTACAATGGTTAAACAGGGCTCAGACAGACAAGCATATCAACCAGTACTTGCTCAACTATGACCAACCCTTATGTATGCCTTTTACCCTCTTTTCTTCTGTATTTATTCATCTTAATTCATCTTCAGCCTTCCATTCACCCCACTTTTATTCTTTCCCCTAAAAATGCCATAATAGTTCCCACACAGTCCCAGAGTACTGCCAACCATGTTCCAAATTTCAGTTCCTCCTCCACCCCGTGGTTACTTCTGTATCCCTTTAGTTTGTATGACATTATGAGAAGAAATTCTTTTGTTGAATCATCCTAGTGGTTCTCCTGTGATAATCCTGAGAGCAGCCAATTTCATACACTGTTTTCACAGATTAGGTTACTAGGATTCCTTCATCTGTCATTTTTTCTCTGATTCTATTGTAGAATATTTTTTGTGCTTAATTTGCCTAGCCATTAGTAAAATAATCTAATATTAAATAGAGAAAAGGGGGAAGAAAAAAACAAAACACCACAAAAAGACCCAAAAAACCAACCAAACCAACCCCAAAACACATTGCCAAAAGCACACAAAATCATGAAGAAATAAAATAATGATGTAAATGCCTAAGATGCACAAAGAAACTGAAAGCAAACCTGAACTTCTGGAGACAAGGGGATGTGTTTTATGACAGCTGTATGTGTTCCAAAACTAGCATGCCTTTAATTACCTGCTTAAAACTGATGCTGGTAAATCTCACAAAAAAAATTGAAATAAATTGGTGTAGCTTGCTAACTTCTGTGGGTTTGCCAGCAGTAAAACAGAAGTCTCCCACATACAGTCTTCTCCCTATGACATGGGATTCATTTTTGGGTCAGGCAGAAGGAAAATATTTTCTTGAATAAATAATAGCAAGTGACTTTGAGAAAACTGAATTGTTGGACAGACAGCCCACAGCTGCAGGAAGTCCACAACCAGTCTCCTTGGAAGCAGCCTGAGTAATGTGATATTTGATGCAAATAAATAGAGAAAAAAGTGCTTTTTCGAGTCAAAGCAAGACAGAAATTTTACCCTATTTTAGTGTTACTAATTCATGGAGAAAAGAAATACAATACTGAAAATACAGCTATTGTAAAAGTCTAAGCAGAAACTGCATTAGAATGACTGAAGAAATTGTGAGGAAACATGGATATCTAAACTGTGGGGGAAAAAAAAAATCATACACCAAGGGTTTTTTACCTTGAAGACCTCAAAGCTGCAAATGGGGAACCAAGATTATTGAGTTCATTTAAGTTAAGATGACTTAAGCTAACTGAGCTCTTGAGTGGCCATATAGGGTATATGATTGATTTGCTCTTGGTAGAGACTTCAAGTCAAATTGAATGATGCATGTAACAAGGTGCTCCTTGCTCTCATTTGGAACAGTATTTCAACTAATTTATGTGTATTTACAGAAACAGTGGTTCCTCCTTGCAGCAAAGTCACTTGACTCTTAGGTACGCTGAACTGCATTTTTGACAAAATTACCTTTCAAAACAGAGCAAATTGTTTTTTCTGAGAAAATGTCCTGTTAATGATTTGAGCTATTTAACCAAAATAAACAGGAAATGCTCTTTCAGGTTATTGACTAAAGAGGTATGATGGGTGTTGGGGTGTGATTAGGTTTCATCTTTTTCTGAAAGGACAAATGGCCACAGCTGCAGATGATTCAGGATGAGTCAGCACTGCCTTGCTGCTTGATAGCTTTCTCAAAGAGTTCAAGGTTTACAAAATAAAGAGCCAGGAAGGAGTCATTCCTCAGTAAGGTCAGTTAAGTTTCTGCAAGACAGCATCTCTCTATGGCATGTGGCTCTGCTTCACATCTTGAATAGTAAATGGATGTTTGGTTTACATAGGTTGTATAACATATGTTGTCTAATCAATTCTTTCAGCGCAGGTCTACAAGGTTTGGTGACACTCCAACTTCTTTTGTTTTCTATTTGTTTAGCATTCTAGAGACTAATCAACTATCTTCAATGCATAATTATTCTGACTAAGAGCTCTTGTAATCTCTAGCTGTCATTTCAGTGAAATCTGTGTCTTTAAAGAAATAACAAAAGCTTGTTATTATCCAATACACATGATATATTGTCAGCAGAGATGCAAAAAAATACTAGAGCTAATATAATACCAATTTTTTTTTCACACAGTATTTTTAAAAAATAAATCTGGTTTAAAATGGACTACATACATGAGGTCAGAATTATTAAGTAAAAATAGCCATAGTATCCCAAAGTCCTCCTCTTAAATATCAGCTTTTGCCATGGAATTAAAGACAAGAAAAAAAAATATTTTCAGTGAAAACTTAAATTATATTTGACTAAATATTCAGATGTTCCTTGCCTTACTTGCAAGGAAGAACCTGTATGCTACCTTACAATAAAGTTACTGTAGAAGTTCTTGGGGATCCACAGCACAGAGTCATTGACATCAGTGCCAGGGATTACCCAAGAGCCATGAAATTACTCCTGCTGAGTAGCTAGCATCTGCTTGGTCAGCCTTTGGGTAGGTGGTGATGAATAATCTCATCTGACTTGGAAACCCTAACACCCTCACTTTGTTGTGATGGAAGGGATCACTGTAAGTGCAAGGTGTGCTACAGAACACACGGGGTTGCAAGATGCTTCTTTAGGCTGCTTGCAGCTTCCTACAGGATGTTGGGTTGTGGGGATCAGCTTGTGGGGATCAGTTTGAAGAAGCAGGGACCAGGATTGCATGAGGGCCAAGATCTGGCTGAAAAAGGCCAGAACTAATTATCCAGATGCATCAAATGCAGGCGTACAAGGAAAGGTCAGCAAGCAGCCAAAATTGGCCACAGGGTGATGCCCTCAGCTGCCAGAGCACTGTCCTGTCATAGATGAACAAGGTGAGCAGACTCACCTTGGGGCTTCATCCAAAGTCTAACGATCTTCAAATGCAAAATAGGAGTTCAGGTCTGAGGTGCAGCCAGAAATCCAGTCAGTCCAAGTCCACTGGTGCTCTTGGGGCCTTGACACCAAGAAGTAATTGAAAGAGCGTATTAGTCACTTCTATCTTTCTTGGTCTTGCTCGTGCTCTTTAGAGTAGCATATCAATAAAAGCAAAGTTCTCTTTTGAGTCTACGGTCTACCTTATAGATTTTTATTTTTGTCTCCAAGAAAGAGATGTGTTTTCTTGCTGAGTTGCAGAAATGAAACAGCATGATGCACAAAATATCACAGCAAAGTACAAAACATGGTACACAACCTGGCTGTTGATTTCTGTTGTTTTTTTATGTTGCTCTGGAAGGGTGCATTATCAGAATGTAGAAAGTTACAATCACCACTGCTTTTCCATGGATTAATAAAATAGAATAACAGTCTGAAGGGCTGAAAATCAGTAGATAATTTAATTTCAATTTATTATGAGTTGGAAATTATTCCATATTTGTCTTTAGCTCTTCTACTAAGATTGTTTGAAATGTCTGGTTTTTGTGTCATCTAGCATAATCACTCTATTATCTTCCGCCGACCTGTAATAAATTTCCACGGCCAGCTAGTAAAACTGGGCTTTTAACTTTTCATACTGAAGTAGATTCTCGCAGGCTTACTGCTGTGCTTTAGCCTTGCTTGTTCTGTTGTAGTAAAATAGTAGTCAAAAAAAGAAAAAGAGACATAATCTCAAGAAAATTTAGATTTTTTTTTATTTACATTTTAAATCATTTGCACTGCAGCAATACAGTCAGTATTTCTCTTGTGCTAGACATTTACTACTAGAAATAATTGCATGCAATAATTGCATGTAAAGAAGATTAATTGCTTAGGTGTCTACAAAAGATTTTACTGATTTTCAACCTTGTTTGAATGCATAATCTTATCATGGTGATGTTGCGGCTAATTTCTCTCAAAATTATCTGGCTGACCTAAAAGAGAGAAGATCTAAAGTGAAGCTGTTTGGTTATAGTGTAGGTGATCACAATACTATTTCCTATTTGTACCTGTGCTTCAGACTTACGGAAATGACATTCATGGACCACTTCTAGGTAACAGATGTCTTTCTTCTAAGGAAAATAAAACAGAAATTGGAGGATACAGCATATTAATTGATTATAAAACAGAAATGAGTAGCATGAGGTACTAGAATGGCTTCTAGTTTTGCAGGATACATAGCTTCTCTACCAAAATCAATCTCTCGTGATTTTAAAATCTTTACCACTGCTCTCCAGTGCCTGGAGAAAGTCACCTAAGAAAAGATTCCATGGAAATGAGCAAACTGATGAAGTAAACTCAATCAATAACTTACTGCATGAGTTAAATATGTGAATTTCTAAGTTTAATGAAAACCTAGCCAATATATTCACGAGTCTTGCAGGCTATTTCTTATCTCTTGAAGTAAATATGTACTCAGCTGGTTAGCAATCTAGATTTTACTGACAGTTAAAGGCAAGTCACTTCCTGAATACAGTCATCACTGCAATTTGAGAAACCTTAAACAGGACCTCCCTTGGTCATGGGTTTCCCATCCCTAGCTGAGAAAGTCTACTAACAAGGATAGTCAAGAACAGCACTGTGTTCCAGAGACATTGATTCTCTTACACTGGCTATAAAGGGAGTGTAAGTATGTCAGCCCAGATAAAGACAACTCCGTTTGGAAAGAAATATTCCACGCGTTACATCTACAGTAGCTGTCATGTAGAAAAGAAAGAGAAGGTCAAATTATGTTCTGGGATATGAAAGATTGATTTGAACTCCTACTTTTTTTGCCTGAATAACTACAAGCTCTTACATGTCCCAGATGCTCTCTGGGTTGAAAGATATTAAGAATTAGGACTTTCTCAAAATTTATTATTCAAATTCTTTCAAGTTTTGTAAAATATTGAAATGCAGACAAGCAAATGAAGAGAAGGACTCCATAGCCTAGTGGCAACCCACTGGAATAGACTCAGTGTGTACCTAAACTAGTAAATTAATCAGACTTGTGACCTTCCATTAGCAAAACTGTGAACACTTAGAGAACAATCCAAATCTGTTAAATTCTCTTCTTTTCTGTAACTAGGTAACCATATCCAAACTATGTATTAGGAAAGATGCCTTGTCATAAATCCCAAGGTGTGTCAGGACATTATTTGGGATTGCTGACTGGTCTAGGAAAAAAAAAAACAGACCAGGATTCTTCTGATTTAATAGCTATGGATGACTATATTTGAGCATCTAGGAAGCTAGTTGCATTTCCTGACACCAGTTTAATTTACTAATAATGACACTGTCTTGTGTTACATTCTGTATTTCAGGGACACATAAAAAATACAAATGTTTTATTAAATATATCTTATACAAAGTAGAATATGGCACATGCCACCTGTATTCACATTTTGTCCCTAATTTTTATCTACCTAATTTTAAATCACTTCTATCCTTGTTTCAGAGAATTTATCTACTAAGATCATTATACTCTTAATTGGGCTTTGAATTTCAGAAAGAAACCAGTACAAACCAGAATGCAATACTGCACAGGGAAAGAGGCTTTCTCAGGAAAGAACTTGTTCTGGGACTGTGCACAAACAAAACCAGCAAAACCTAAGTGGCACAATGGGTTAGCACATTAAGGAAGGTCTTTTTATGTATGCCACATAACATCATTCTTCTCAAAGGAAAAGGGGGTAATAATGTGACAGTGGTGGTTTAGAGAGTGGGAGCTCCCTGTAGAGCAGCCTTGGGGCATAGAAGCCTGTCACAGTCACCTACGAGCTCCTGGAAGCTGCAGCTGAAGCTAGGTCTGAACAACTGCTAGACCAGTAGTGCCAGTGCTGTGCTTGTTGGTCCATACTCCTTGATGTGTTTTCAGCTCAGATGCAGGTTAGAACCAGGTTGCACAGTGAAGCTGTATGTTACCAACAGTATTCCTACTCAAACCTTTCTCCTAAGGGAGAGTTTTAGCACAGTAGCTTCTCTACTTCACACACTAGTAGTCTCGGTTGTTCACAGTAAAAAATGTAATGCTGTCTTTCCTTATAAAACTCTTTTTTTCCCTGTGCAGTTATGGAACACTAGTTTCATTAAGCAACAACAGGCAAGAACAAGTCATTGGTGTAGATGTAAGGTATGTTAGCATCTCAAAGTTATTCCACTGAGAATCTGACAAAGACTCTAATGTGAAGACTCATGCTGAAAATTGTTAGATGAGATAATCACTGACTTGAGAATGAAAGAAAAGTACAAGATAAAACAAAATCTGTTGTTTGCTGAAGGCAGACAGAACATATAGCACAAGTGAGAAATTATCAGAAATACTTTTTGCTTCATGCACTGAATTAATTTAAAATTTGGAACAGTGAGCCTACCTTACTGATACTCTGCTTTTTATTCCAGGCAACTCATCTTCAACAACCAGCAGAATCTTTCTAAGTAGCAGAAACTTCTAAAGAGAGTCACTTCTGTACTCTGTTATGCTTGATTACACAACTCTGTGTATTTTGTCATGTGTTCATGATAGTTTTTCCTGTTGTCATCATAACATTGGACTTTAATCACGTAGCGTGGACTCCCATGGTGAATTAAATATAGAGTGAATATACAGACCAGTCACCTGTGATTGGATGAAGTTCAAGGATTTGGATTAGTGAGAACACACTGTGCAGATATGGGTCACAAGTTGTGCAGAATTCTTACCCTCTACGAGGCTGAAACACTATTTTCTGGATATATTTACTTACTCATTTTATTCCTACCAATAAATATTTTTAAGTTGCAAAACTGTTCAGAAAATGTTTGACTTTTGAAAAGAATATAGGGGAATGAACAGCTGAGAGATGTACAATGAAAATCCTTGTAAGGCATAACATGATTTAAAGAAATAATTTGTGAGATGAAAAGTATGTGAGTGTATCAAATGTGCATCTAAATGTGTTAGTAGTGGAACAACAAGAACAACTTATCCATATTGGAATAAAGGATGCAACTTGTATTTTTAAAGTATTTATATCTAATTGTTGTAAGGAAATATACCAGTGATAACTAGATATATCCCTACTGATGTAGGGATAACTTCACATATTTTGCATTAGTTCTGAATTGTTGTATAGTATGTCCTTGCAGCATCAGCAAACACAACAAGAAGCCATACAAACTACAGTAAAATTATAGCTTCAACTGCCTGACAGTTCTCATCTTACCTTCCTTGTTTTTATCATTATTTTAATTTTAAATGGGCTGATCTGGAGAAAGTATGGTCTAAGCAGACAGTTGTCAGAAATGTGCTCACCACAGTAATGCAGTTGAGAGTTCGAGACTGAGTATTTGCAGCTTGGTGCAATATAAAATATTCCCACATTAAAGTGAAAAAGAAATCAAAGTTGGAGAATATTTTATAAGTTGTAATTCACTCTTTAGAGTTTACATTTTAGAAATAGTAAAAGCAGAAAAGCAATAGCTAAGGACTATGCCAAAACCTGGAACTAAAAAAGACGCTGAGATGAAATAGACTCTGAAACTTCAGATCACATATGTGAACTTTCCAATTAACATTCTAAACAACCTGGAACAATTGATTCTGCTGAATCAAAAGCAGTAAGATTAATTAGATTAAAAGTAACAGGATATTTAGCCAAACACCCAGCAAACTGATGTTTTATTTCTAAGTACTTTCTGCCAACAAACTACAGACTTTTCTTGTGACATTTCCAGTGTTATTGTCATTCAGGGATTCAATTAGCAAACAAAAAATCTGAATTTATGTGGATAATTAGTATACTTTGAATTCAGAAGTAGCCATTCACACTTGCAGAACTTCAGGGACTAGAAGCAAAAACATAAAGAAAAGAAAAGAAACTGTCATTATTATTTCAAAACTATGTAAATCCAAATCTATCCAAAGAAGACAAGTATAATATATATAACAAGTATATTTTTAAGACCTCATAGTAAGTCCCCATTAGATCAGAAGATGCCTGCTTTTATTCTTATATCTTAGAAAATGCAAAGGATTGCTAAAGGAATGGTGAATGTATAATAGATAGGTGTTTGTGCATGCCATACAGTAAACACACATCTGTAGTTGACTTGTTACCTCACAATTCCCTCTCTAAATTTTCCTCATTTGGTGGATATAGCCACAAGTACTTCTCATATATAGAAGACCTTTTTTACCCATTTATGTACTTTCAGAGTGGCTCAGTGCTTCTCAGTATTTGTAAGTAGGTTGGATTTTACTGATGGGACAGATGAGTAGGAATGATCATGATGCAAGGATGAGGATAAGATTTTGAGTAGAAAATATGTCTTTGAAAGAATACTGGGATTTCAAGATTCTTCTAATATGACTGGGTTTTAACACAATTTTGGATATATATGGTAATGAAGGATGTCAGTGTTTATGAGAATTTCTTTTCCTTGTCAGCCCTTCTGCAGAGATTCAATTCTCTCTTCATCTTCCTCTCTATTCTCCATAGCAAGGTTTTTTAAATGCCAGAAACAACCCCTATTTATTTTTGTGTGTACCATGAAGGAGGGATTCAGGCTGCCTCTAGTTCTATTGCACAAAAAGAAAAATAAAGCCAAGAAAGAGCAGTTATGATGCTTCAGGGTCTTCTACTCTGCTTTCCTCAGCATTAAAGGTGACATGCGTAAGGACAAATGGAGAATATACACAAACACAAAATCCTTTCCTCCTCCTTCAGCAGAAAGAGCGATGGTCTGTGCAAATAGAATGTGAGGAAAGAAGAGGGTTCAGTCTAAGCAGACCCAATCTTCTCAGCCAAAGGTGAAATAGTCAGGTGATTGCATTAAAAAATGGGATACTTTGGTCCTGGTTTTAGTCAGACATATTTATTTTTTACATATCATAACTCGCTTCTTGGTATCCCTTGTCTCTCTCTCATGTTCCCATTTATTTCCACAGCAAGTAAGTTAATCTTACTCGCTTATTTCTAAAAGCAGACTCTATCTAGAAAATAGCTACTATACAAGCCTCAGCTAGCATATTTGTTAACTCTTCTTATTATCACTTGGTTGTTCCCTCTGGTGACAAGTTTCTTAAATAATATTCAGTTGTTAGGTTTAGAATGTGACTACTGCTTTTCCAGACTAAATTTTAATCAGCAGCATAGGCAGAAGGCAGTTTCTTGAATCTTAAATCTGTGTGAAAAAAATAGTGCAGTCAAGGACTTGTGCTTGAAAGTATTAAAAATATGGAATGGTTGTGGTGTTGGGTTGGAGCTCCATAAAATAATACTATAGAGTTAAAGAATACCTGGTGGCTCATCTAATTCTGTTGAGTATTTGAACTCTGTGATTTCTTCCTCTTGCAGATACTCAAAGGCTCCATGTGTGTGCTCATCATTGAAATTTCCATGTCAGTGTTTGCAGTCCATTCTGCTCATTAATTACCTCATGACTAATTAATCTGTCCCAAGTTTGTCATGCATATTCTTTAATTTTCCAGGATAAGATGCAACTTTTTAACACTCCAGAGTGTTTCTGTAACACTTCTTTCTTATTTTAAAAGTCTCATGGAATAGGATCTTACTCCATGTAAAGATGACTTTCTAAGCTTGTTGGCAATTTTTTATGAATGTCATTAACAAATAATAAACATATTTTTAATATCAAAGGTCAATTTCTTACCAGTTTTGCATTGTTTGATAATCATTTATACTTATATAGGATAAGTATAAGCTACTAACATAAATTGGAATAATTTTATAACCACTTAACACAGGGGTAATAGGCCATAAATAGTGCAAGGTAATGGAAATTTAGGTGATAGACATGCAATTATATTAAAAGAATCAATAAAAGCTCTTCCAAATTACAACCATGGCATAAACAAAATAGAACAAAATCAATAAACTTAAAAATACCCTTCATTGTCCTTTAAAGTGCTAAGTAAAAAGAAAAAAATTTTACATCATAACTTTAAAACCAGAAAAACCTGAGCTGCATTACACAACTGAGATGATACTGCTTTCCAGAAGCATGCATACAATATTGCAACTCCTTTTTAACACTGATGTCAAAATTGAGGTTGAAGGTCCTACTAGATTTCAATTGTTGTTGTTTATTAAAAAAAATAAAAAATTCTACGTTTGGGCTTATAAGCCTAAGTTAAGTGACCACAAAATCGTTGTTACTTACCAAAACTAAAAATAAGATAGATAATTGCAGAAGAAAAAAAAAAAATGGGGGTGGGGGAGGGCAGGGAGTGGGAGGTGAAAGAAACTCTTCCTATTAATTTTCTAATTCTCCATTTCACCATGCTTAGTTATTAGGTAAAGATATGTTAAGTAATTAAGTTGTTTGGTTTCTTGTTTTTTTAAACTAAGAAGCTAATATGAATATAGAAAACTGTGAATATGACATTAAAAATATCAAGAATTAATATATAAATAAATAGAAAAGTGATATGCAGATTGTACTACTAATTCCTCTTCATTCAGTGAGAAACTTTGTTTAGAAATATTGTTGAACTTACCACAGAATATTCACTGAGTGCAGTGAAGTGCTGCAGAATTTCAAACATCTGACTTGGAATTTAGCTCTAGCTTGTCACATAGTACACCCAAGCAGAGACTGTGGAGAATTTCAACATTTGTTTACAGCTGGTTGGACAGAAGTTCTGATGTCATCTGTGTCCTGGTGTTCACTGAAAAAATTTCTCTTTTTCTTTATAAGCAAGTGAATCAATGTACATAAAACTAAATTTCTGAGATGTGAATATGTCAGAAATTCAATGTGAGGACAAGATATTGGGATGCCAACAGGACACAGCAGTAGACCTCAAGGCACTAGGTATTTTTGCAGAATAAAATACCTAAAATCTTTGACAAATCTATTCTGAGAAAATTCCTAGAGTGTTCTACCCATCTACCAAAACTCAAGGTTCTGTTTTTAAGTAAAAGAAAACTCCTGCCTGTCTTGTTATGTGCTATGTTTTAAACCTAGCTGGAAATCAAGCACCACACAGCCATTTTCTCAACTCCCCCTTTTTCCCCTGCCCAAGCCGGTGAAACGGGGAAAAGAATCAAAGTAAAACTTGTACGTTGAGACAAGAACAGTTTAGCAATTGAAAATAAGTTAAAATTCAATAAAAAGTGTAAATTGGTAAATAAAAGTAATAATTATAAGAAAAAAGGAAAAAAACCCAAGTGTTTCACGACACAATTGCTCACTGCCTGCTGACTGATGCCAGATCCCCCATCCCAAACCCTGATCAGCCGCCCTTGGGGTAACTCCCATCTATCTCTTTATTCAGAGGATGTTCTATGGTGTATAATATCCCTTTGGTTGGTTCAGATCACCTGTCCCAGCTCTGCTCCCTCCCAGTTTCTATTGTATTCTTCCTCATGGTAGAATATCAGACAAGAAAAAGTCCTTGACTTAGTAAAAACACCACCACTTAGCAAAAA